CCCCGATCATAGGGTGTTAAAAACTGAACAAAACCATCATCATCATCCAGTGCCAGATCTGCGGTAGACAAAGGCGATCATGGTTCTCCACCCATTTCTTTGCTCCGATTCTCTTTAAAAAGCTATGTTTCCCTGATCTTTCCCTTTCGCCCATTTGTTTAGGTTCCTTAAGTAGGTTGTTCTGGGCCTACTCCTGCCTCGTTTGCCTTCAATTTTGCCAGTGAGAGCTAAATGTTCAAGACCCTTATGTCTTCCAGGTGTCTCAAAAACTGCATTTGTCGTTTCCTGATTGTTTTTAACAGTGAGCATCCCACTGGGCTTCTTCAAGTCCTACCTCATTTGATTTCTTTTCCTCCCACGATACTCTTAGCAGTCTCCTAAGAAACCATATTTCTGTTACTTCTATTTTATTTTCAATGTCTTTAGGTTTTATCCAGCATTCACAACCATATAGAAGGGTTGACCATACATAGCATTTCAGAACTTTCATTTTGGTAGTCATTGAGATGTTTCTATTTTTTCATGATTCAGCTCATTTTATTGAAACCAGCCTGAGCCATTGTATTTCTTCGTTTTATTTCTTTCGAACGTTTGACATCAGATGTTATTTTTATCGTATATCCTAGACATTTAAACTGTTGGACTTGTTTTAATCTTTTCACCTTGCTAATGAGATTACTACTAGGATTTGCTGCTTTTTTTATATTACCATGTATTCTGTTTTCTTTACATTCGACAATAATCCTTTACGTTCCCTTTCTGTTACAACAGTATCTAGAAGCAATTGAAGGTCCTTTTCTGCTTTTCAGAGTCTGCTATTAAAACTGTTCCATCGGCATATCTGATGTTATTAATATTTTCTCCATTTACTTTGAGAACTGGACATTCTTCTATGTTCCTAGCAAACAAACATACAAACAAAATAAATAAACAAAACAAACAAATCAGAAACCGACGCAGGCGGAGACCGAACTCAAGAACTCTGGTTTGACAAGCAAAGCTCACACGACATGTTAAGCTACTGATCCCCCATTTTTTTCGGTTGAACTTCTATTATGATTATATTATATTTGCAAAGAGAATAAAAAAACTAATTCAGTTCCATCAAATCATTTTATATTTTAAAGCTGGATTAGCTTCACCACCACTTCGTGGGGTATCGTCAACGCTGCCACCGGCAATGACGCTCACGTGGGTTTGTGGAGAAGGTGTTCCAAGTTGACAACAGGATGTAACGATTTGGACGGCTACGCTAATGGTTGGTGGTGCTTCTAGTTTGTCAATAACAGAATTTGTTTTTCCTTTTTGCAAGTATATACTCTCCCCCCCCCCC